GTTCATCCCTGTCTGACTCTGTTCCTAATATTTACTACTCTACGAACCATAATATAACCAATACATAAATATAATAAAACTTACAAAACTGACAAATAACGTATATTATATAATTTAGTGGAAGGTCTCACCGGTAACATTCCTGTTGCGAAATGTTTTTATAAGGATTTAATTAATGTCTCATGTTTATAAATGTATATAGAAAGCTCTGGAAACCAGAAGTGTAGTGACTTTGATTTTGGTTATATCTAAGGAAATGCATTTCAATGTTGTTATACAGGATATGAGCCATTGAATACGTAGAATTAATTCCTTCGCTTTTATAACGTCTTGCAGATAATGACATTGCCGTTAATCTGCGCTAGTCGATTAAACATATACTGGCCTGCTCATTGCTAGAACAATACGTACCATTTTTAACCGACTTAATAAGGTTCTTACAAGTTTTTTTTTTTTGTAGGTTTGTTACGCGATTACTTCGCCAATTATGAATAGATTTTGATGATTCTTTTTTTGTTTGGTAGGTCATGCTTCAGAGGTGGTCCCATATAAATTTTATCGAAATTAATCCGGTGCTTTTTCAAAAAAACAACAAATGCAAAAAAAATATATGTACACTAAAAATTGAAAAATAGAGAGTTTATAATTGAAAAGTTAATTTTTAAAACATGTATAAACTTAAACTAAAAAGTAGAAAATAATATTTTAATTACTTCAAAGTAAAGTATATTACAGACAATCGATAAAATAATTGATACTAATACACATTGTTATTGGAGTCGGTTTCAATCAAAGCAAAAATAGCCTTAATAGATACCTACTTGATTAATCAATTAATATATTAATACGAAAGTAGAGATTAGATAAAAGAAATCGAACGAAGACTTTGTTGCAAAGGCAGGATTAAACTGTCCTTCTTGACTGGGACCTGCTCTAAAAGTGATTATAAACTATAAGGTACATAAATATCAGTGATTTTGTCGATTGTTCTGTAATGCACATTACTTTGAAATAATTAATTTAATACAAGTTTTTAATTAATCTACAAGTTATTTCTTAAAAATTAATTTTAGGCTTATTTAAAAACAGCAATAAAAAAGGAAATATTTGGTTCGACTACTAATCCTTTTCAATTCATACAAGGAGTTGCCTGTATGCGAACAGCCTTGATGTCACCTTGCACTGTCACATTAATATATAATTCTGTATATAAGGATACATCAATATTCACTCCAGTTATAACATAT